TTTTCTTGACAGATAGACCACCAGAATGTTTGAAATGCGCATTTTGTATTACTAGCTTATCTTTGATATGGCATGAATTTCCAGAGACCAGTGAATCATTACAGAGTGGTTTAATTAAAGTCTTCCACATTGATTGAAGTGCACGAAGCTCCATGTAACACAATATCTGTATTAGCAGAGCTACTGCAGTTTGACCTACTGTCTGTACCGGGTAGGTGGAACACAACCAAAAGGCACATTAGAACAACACAGCTCAATACATATTGGATTCCAAGCCCAGTCTGGTTCCACTCTCCCTCCAAGCAGCCTAACAAAACAAATTTAATTGGCTTAAAAACAAACACAGTGATGTATTCCAAAGGGGAAAAATTGAACAAATATAAACCACTTAGGACTGAACTCTCTCTTTCGCAAATATTTCCAAGTGTTTTTTCCCCCCCTCCAAGCACAATTTTTCGCTTCCTGCAGCACAACTACAACAACAAAGAGCTGATCAATATCACATATGTACTGAGAGCTGATGGCCGTTAGGAAGCAGGGCATTTTGCAGCTCAGAATAACTTGGACTGTGCACAGCTCGAGTTCCACAGTCACACAGCACATCTCCTGACAGTGTTACAAAGGCAGCACTTCAGTAAGAAGACAGTCCTAACACACAGAAGGAATACAGGAACCAACACAGCAGTGCATTTCCCTAGGGTGCTTTGCACGCTGCTAACTGCTGCATTACTGCAGACAGCCTGCATCGCACAGAGCACACGGCAGGGCAGCTGCAGCCGGGCTTCCTCACCAACAGCCGCACCTCAGCACACACAGCAGATCTTTTTTCTGACAGTTGATTGCGAGCAAACCTCACATGGGCCCTATTTTCAGGAAATATTCAATAAAAGGCTCATTGATTGGATAAACACGTGAGCTCACATCCACCCAAACAAAGAGAAGTGACCTATTTCCACTTCTATTTCAGGCCCAAGGAAAGATTGCACTGTTCCAGCACCGCTGTGTTGTGAGCTCAGTGCCAGCACAGCCCTGCTTCTCTTGGTTGGCTTGAATGCTTTCAGAGGTCACAGCTTTGAGCCCAGAAACAAACATCACCCTGACTTTGTAACAGCTGAGGATGTCTCCCCCCTCCCCTCCCCACCTCTCTCCCCAAAGAAGGAGATACCCCACAACTTAACATTTTCTAGCAAAGATCCCCTGCTCTCCATTTCACACTTTGTACACTATGGCCTTCCTGATGGCAGCACACACTGCAAAGCAACTGCATCCCCTGAGGCAAATCAGATCCATCCCAAGACTTCCAGTTACTGTCTGCATGGTTGCCATCATCTTAGTCTCAAAGCCATAGCAAAGGGCGACTCTTTTTCCTTCTCTTCAGAAGGTTACCCTCCGACTTTTTCTGAAGCCCAATTCTGCTTAAAGTTAATAGTTAACTCTATTTTGCAGTATGAGCAGACTGTCAGTACTGCTGCCAGGCCCAGATAAGATGAAGGCTTAACTGTAAGTCAGAGTTTGCTGTTCTGCTGTTTCCCCTCCTTTGTTTTCAACCTTTTGTCCCGTAAGTCCTAACACAAGATTTTTTTCTTCTTAGAGGACGAGCCTGCAAATTAATCTGAAGATCTTAGTTACAATTAAAACAATTACTTTCAATCAGACTACTGTATTTAAGTCCCCTTGCTACTAATAGGTAAAATAGCCACATCATACAGGAAATACTGACTGCATTCAGATCTGATCATTCTGATGCAACCTTCCCACCTTGGTTTCATGATCCTGCCCTCCAGGATCCCAAGCAGCAAAGCTCTTTGCCCAGCAGAACAACCAGGAGACGTGCAGGTGTGAGCAGAGCCACCTGGGACAGCCTGGAGCTGCCTGAACAGACAGACCACTTGGGGGTCAGTTTTCCAGACCATCCCCAGCTCCTTTGTTCACACCACTCAAAGGCCACTTGGTCTGTAAATCACCCCTACCTGCTCCACTAACACCTGGCAGCTCCAATCACTGAGCACAGCAGCAAACATTGCCACTGGGTTGCTGTTTGCAGGGATCAGCTGCACGGAGTGCTTTGGAACGAGCAGCACTTCCATTCTGAACCCTTTTAGGAATCATTTTCAAGAGGACTCCAAACATTCGAAGCACAGCAATGTAAGTGGGCACGAAGGCTGAGGTAATGAAGGATTGCTGTTCTCTTGGCACGCTGGGGAAGGATCACACTGGGCTTCCCCTAGAGGAATGTCCCACTGCAAGGCAGCGTGTCACAGTGAGCACACAGGACTGGTGCACTGAGATGCGTACAGCATGCTTATTATGGCCTGGGAAGCACCTGCTGCAGGAAGCAGAACCAGGCTGATAAAACCCCATAAGAATGCAAACAAGCTCCTAAGCAATCTCACCATGAATTTCTAGCTCTATTGCAGCTGAGCTCAAGAACACAAGAAGACACATGGAGCAAACAGCTATTCCTATGCTGCCAAGTAAAAAATGCACTTTGAATATGCAAATGAGAAATGTAAGATTTGTTTGGGCTTCCCCTGATAACACATTCAGCATCAGAACGTGCCAAGAAGACTAGACAGGAGGGCAAACAACCAGAAAGAGAGCCACCAAACTACAGATGTGTATCAGGAAAGGTGAGAGCAGAGAACCAGTTCTGAATTACCAAAAAAGGCTGCTGGTCACCACCCAGTTCAACAAAGATTTGCTCACCTGTCCCAAGGCCTGGGGCTCACCAAACACTCCACAAGGAGGGATCTCCAGATAGAAACCTTTCCCTTGTGGCAGCCAGCCCTTTAATGAGGGCAGGGAGGGCTGGAACCGGGTTTTTGGAATTGCTGCCACCTGTGCTCCCAGGGCTGCGTCCTTCCCCAGGTGCTCAATTATTGCTTAGGGCAGTGACTCAGCAATTCCCCTACAATATATAAGGACACCTTTTCCCTATTTGAACGTACTGATAGTGACAAAGATAAATGTAAGAGAAAAGAGCTTCAGTTCCAGTCTGCAGGACAGGTTATGTACCCGTGTGTCGCTCCAAAACTGCCTACAGACCAATTCTGCTCTCTCACTAACATGAGTTGTATGTACACAGCAAGATTCCTTTACAATTGGGTTGTCGATACTTTCCAGGTGCTGAGAGAAGTACAGTTCAGTAGAGCACAGGCAGCTGTAGAGGTCCCGTGCTGGCGCTCAGGGACAGGCAGCCTCTCGGTGGATGCAGGATCTGACAGTCGGTACCCGCACCGCCCCCCTGCTGGGCGCACCAACGTGCTCTGCTGGTCGCTTTCCCTGAAACAGAATTCGGAGCCTTCTTTTTAATGTGTAGATTTAAAAAGTAGAAAAATGTATCCGCAGCTTTCTTAATGCAGGTAATTCTCTTGCGGTTTTTGTATAAAATATTCTAGCACTGCTTAGAACTTCCCCAGGGGAATCTGCGGTGGCCCAGAGAACTGCAAGGGCTGTGAGGGTAGAAACAAATCGATGCGTGAAAACAAAGCAGAGAGAATTAAAATGGAAAAGGCTGACAGCCAAACCGTTCTGGATGAGCGAATACTGGAATTACTTGAATGGGTGAACGCTGTACAGCTGCATCTCTGCTCGAACGGGGGCCTCAGCGCGATCAGCTCTGAGCATCAGCGCCCGCAGCCCCGGGCAGCTGCCGCCGGGCGCCGGAGTGAGGGGCGGCGTGCGCTGCACCGCACGGCAACGGCCGGGCCCGGAACTCTGCCGCAGCCCGTTCCTCCCCCTCCTGTAACTGAGCCTGACAAGCCGGGGTCGGCACTGCTCTCCTCCACCGATAACAGCCGGCACCAGCGGAACCATCAGGAGACTCTGAGCCGAGCCGCACGCCGGGAGCGCAGGCACGGCTGTCCCGGAGCCCTTGCGGTGCGCCGCGGGCGCTCCCAGCAGAAGCCCAGCGCAGCGCTGCGGGGCGATGAGGGGACGAGGAGACGCTTCTGCTGGGGCCGCACCTCGGCACGGAGCGGCAACGACGCCGGGCAGCACGGCGGAGGCGGCCGCGGGGCTCCGGAAGGGACCGAAGGCTGCGGGCGGAGCACCCCGGCAGGACGGCCCTCCCCCAGTGCGGCGCAGCGCCGCCCCGCCCATACCGTCAGCCGCTGCCGCCGGGCCGCGAGCACCGGGTGCGGATTGGCCGCCGCGTGACACCGCCCGGCCCCGCTGCGTGGCGGCCGTCGCGCCCGGGGTGGCGTCGGAGGGGGCGGCGGAGCTGTGACGGACGGTGAGCGCCGGGCTCGGCCGGGGCGGGCAGGCTGTCGCGGCGGGGCCCGGGCCGTTGGGGCGGTGGGGTGGTGCGGCGGTGGGCGAAGCCCCGCGGCGGCGGCGGGCGAGACGTGCGGGCTCCGCCCCGCTCCGGGGCCGTTCCCGGCCCTCCTGGGCGCCGCCGAGCCGCTCTTTGTGTCTGTGCGCTGCGGCTGGGGGTGGCTCGCCGCTCTCCGCAGCACCAGCGGGCCCGGGCTGCGCGCTGCGGGCTGCCGGCCTGCCCTGCCGGGTGTGTGGCTGCGGGGCGGCCGGGGAAAGGGTAGCGCTTCGTGCCCAGCGGGGCCGCAGCCGGAGCGGCGCCGGGAGGTGTGCGCTGCGAGGAGCGGGAGGGCGGCGGGCCTGGACAGAGCGCTTAGAAAACCGGCGAGCGTCTGAAGAGCTACTTCGAATGTCTGCGTAATAAGGTTTAATCGGCAGACACAGCGCTGTTACGAGTTTTGTAGCGCGATGGGAACCGAGCGGCGGCACGGCGCGGCACGCTGCGGGCTCCGGCCCCGCTCCGCGTCCGTGGGGCCGCACCGCCGTGCCGCGGAGCGCCTCCCGAGCCGGCACAGCTCCGGCAGCCCAGGGCCGCGTCCAGCTGTGCGCGGCATCACGGCGGATCGCTGCCCGTGGCGGGCGGCTGCAACACGCACAGCGCCCCGCACAGCATCCCGCTGCCGCGCAGCTTCTGCGCGCTGGGGTCTCGTGCCTGCGGCTGGCAGCCCCGCGGCACTGCCCTGCTCTCTTCTGCGAAGCGTGAACTGCAGCGTAAAGCTTTAAAGGCGGCTCTTGGTTAAGTGCCAGGCAGTATCACGCCTCCCGTGGAAGCTGCACGCTGCTGTGAGGCGTCACTTCTGGATCCGGTGCTGCTGAATGGGTTAATAACCTCTTCCCACACGAAGCTGGAGCAGAGGCTGGCACTGGGCAGGAAAAAGCTATTATTTCTGGAGCAATGGCATAGCGCTGCTATTTTCACTGCTTGATTGCTAAGAATGCTGTAAGAACCAAGGCAGGCTACTTGCAATTCCCAGCGGTTAATCTGATGTATCTTACTAATGAGTAAATGTACTCAGATGTGTCTTACAGCAAGTGGGGTGGAAGAGAGACAGCTCCAGCAGCACCACCAAGTACATACACAGGTACACCAGGTGTTGCTGGCAATTCTTTTGAAGACTGGCGATTTCTAACTTCTCATCACTTACAGTAGAAGTGACAGATGAAGTCAGTGCTGCTCCTGGTATGCGTGTGGGCATGTCAGCTTGGGTGGGCTTTAGAGAAGGTGAGTCAGAAAGCTAGCTGTAATCTGCTGTGGGGTCAGTTTAAGGGGATCTACAGAATGCAGCATTCCCCCAGATGAGAAATGGACTCTGAAGACAATGCAAATTTCAATCCATTGCTGGTGGAGCGCGAGGCTGGAGTTCTGCATCTAGAACACAACACAGACACCAAAGGGCTCTCTGGAGATTCTTACTGGTGTAGTTAGTGTGCATGTGCCACCCCACAGACAGAATTAATAGCTTTTAGCAGGAAAGCTGTAGCTATTCACCTAAAAGCCCGAGAAACAGCAGCAAGACTTAATGGTGACACTGAAGTTTGTGCTGGAATGCTGCATTTGCTTGAAACAAAGCAGCCAGCTGATAAAATGCTGCTGCCAGCCTGCTTGGTCCCTTTCACCAGGAGCTGGCAGTCTGTGCTGTTGTAGAGCTGGGCAGGGGCTTAACAGCTGGCTTAGGAAGGATGCTGGTGCCTGTCTTCTTGAGCATGAAGGGGAAGATATGCGTGAAGAAAGAATGACTGCTACTGCATCTTCTGAGAGTTGAAGTAACTTGAGAAAGATGACCTCGAATTTTATCCATCACTTTCTTAAAAGGTGAATGTCCATGCAGTCATTTTTCCAAAGGCACGTAGGCTAGTTTTCTCCTATAACTCCTGCATTAACTATAGTGTGGTGCAAAACTAGCAGGGATTTCCTGGGTAGAAGTGAGCTGCTTGATGCAACCCAATTTTCCTGGCAGTATTAATGAGACCAGATCTATGCATAGAGAAAGGAAACTTGCTGGGTAATACATCCAGAGGAAGCTATGTCCCTCTGTGTCCCAGAGCCGAAAATATTCCGAAGATCTGAGTCTTCTGATGAAACTAAAAAGCAGGCAACTTGAAAAGTGCAGATTTGTGGATTTGGCAAAGGAAAAACTTTCGGAGGGGTCTGTCAGTGGTCATGTACACTCCAGATTGGACTATGAGTTGCTTAATGAAGTTGAATGGGTATCATGCATCCTGTAGGTCCTAGTTTTCCACCTCATGACACCTTGTACTTTGCCACACCAAAGCACAGGAGAACCTCAAAGACAAGTCCTGCAAGCTTCTGTTCTTATCTATTGACACCTCTGTTGTATTAAGGGAGCTCTCCTGGTTAGTTGGTGAAAATGAACTCCATAAGAGCCACCCTGAGTCACCCTCAGCTGTTCATCCTGTATTGAATAAGCAGAGTTCATAACACTGCGAAACAAAGATGACAAATTGTACACCTGTCTGGTTGCAGTGGGCACACAGCTCTGCTGCTGATGGTATGTGGTACACTTACTTTTATTGTTTGTTTTTAATTGGGGAAAACTGGGTCTGCCAGATTTGTCGTATACCTGGCACAATTCAACAGCAAGCTGCTGGCTGCTCTGCCTTCAGGGCTGGGAACATAACCAATCTAAACCCTACCTTGCCTCTACTGTTTGGAAGCCACTAAGAGCGGAAGCTTGTAATAATAATCTTCCCCTTAATGTTTTATTGGATTCTTCAGTAACTCTGGCTTCTCATGATAAGTGCACGAGAAGCATTATTTTTCTTCAGCTCAGTGAACAACCAATTAATCACCATGTAGTCAAGCCTTCTCAGTAGACCAATATTACGGATGGGCTTCCAGCAAACTATTAGTGTTACAATTTTTTTTTGCAAGTGTTACCAATCCTGGAACCCATAGAGCATAAGGAAGATAGTGTATATCAGATCTACAAGTGCTAGATTTCTGGCTGTCAGATGTGCCACTTCTGCAAGATTGCTTTAAGCATGCTAAAGGGAGCTGACTTGCTACCTTGTCATGGACTTGACAACTCCACTATGATTTAATATTTTTTTATAATTTAACTGAAGAGTCGTAAGTCTTTCCACACAGAACTGTGTAGCTTCCATTACTGGAGGAAAAAACAACTTTGCTATGCAAATCTAGGTGTAGCCTTGATGTGGTCAGCTTGCCCAACTGTGCCTAATGACTTCAGTGTTTGTAAAAAGCTTGCTTAACTTGTGTTACAATTGAAATTTGTTAATGGACTGTCATGTCTCAGAGTTACTTCATCCTAAGGTACATCTGCATCTTGTCTCAAGCTCTCAGTAAAAACTGTTACTCCTTAGCAGTTTGAGGTTATCCATCTTGGAAACAGGTCAAGAGCTGAAATAAGTCTGGCTTTCATTTGCATTAGTTTGCTATGAAAACTTCTAAATTCAAAGGCAGTTTGTGAAGAAATACCTTAAAACGAATATGGGCACATTCAGCACTTCAAGATTCTCGTGCAGGAGACTTGTGTGAGTCACACAGAGAGCGCCAACCGCAAATATTTCTGAAGATACGGAACTGCACAGCCTCATTAAATGTCTGTTTTTCCCCTGCAGGAGTCTGAAAATACAGTGAAGCCTGACGGTGCAGACAGAAGAGTCTTCAAGAAGCTGGACAATCTGAAATACTGACCATGTCTATTATGGATCACAGCCCCACCACGGGAGTGGTGACGGTTATCGTTACTCTGATTGCTATCGCAGCTCTTGGTGCCTTGATTCTGGGCTGCTGGTGTTACCTGCGGCTGCAGAGGATCAGCCAGTCTGAAGATGAAGAAAGCATCGTGGGCGAAGGAGAAACCAAAGAGCCCTTTCTTCTGGTGCAGTACTCTGCTAAAGGACCCTGCGTAGAGAGGAAAGCCAAGCTAACTCCAAATGGCACAGATGTACATAGCTAACTTGGAGCGACACGTGGACTGTGGCTATGATGTGTGTAACCAGCAGAATCTATACTGTGAAGAACTTGTTCACATGCACACTACGCATCAGAACACCTCCATGAGACTTTTAAGCATTGTCTGCAACTGCACACACAGAGAAGTTGCTCTCTGCATCAACTGTAGATCCTAATTCCTCCACAGGAGGAAGACTCACAGGACACAGGAGCTGACTCGTCTGGCATAAAGTCCATTGCTGGCAATGGATGCAAAGATATCTTGGTGCAAAGAGACTAACAGCATTTTTTTGTTACTTGAATGTTCAGCTGAGCCTATTTTGATGGAACCACTACTGTACTGTGAACTACTTTACAACTGTGAACTGTAAATAGGCTGCCAGAAGCTTTATGCTTTGCATTCACAGCATATGAGAATAGCATGACGCAACTGCACATAACACGAGGGGACACTGAACCACAGCTGTCGATGGGAATCCCGATTTTCAAACCAGACATGTGGTTAAAGCTTGCTTCTGCTATTAACTTCTGAGTGCACAGCCAAAAGGTCAAAACAGCACCGGCTTACTGGACTGGTGTAGAATACTTTCTTTAAAAAGGTGTAAGCCTACAATAATACGCTGAGGGAAGAAACACAGGAGCTTCACGAAAGGAAATAACTTCCTTCAGTTACAGCTAGGCATTGGTTAAGCATCTGGCTGCTAGAGCAGATTTTGCTAATCACATGGCAACTGCAAGGAAACTGCCATTGTGATGGATTCTGACCTGGGAACTAATGATGGTCACCAAACCCTCGGGGTGGTCCAGAAGGTTTCCAGCAGTGTGAAGTGGCAGTAGAGCAGGCTTTTTCTCTTCTGTGTTTCTGCATGCTGAAACAGCAGAAGTTTTTACCTATTAAAACTGGCATAAATGCAACTAATGAATTTTTCCTAGGACCTCGTGTAATTAGCAGCTTGGGTATATGTAATCAAGATATTAATGGCCTGTTGTAAAAAGGCATTTTAGACTAAGACAGTCAGGTATAGAATTCAGTTCCTGTATCTTGTAAATGACTCTCGGTTTAACTCCACAAGATACATTTCAGCCTCTTCTATGAGAAATAATGCTGACAGGGTGAAAGATTTCTGGTTTGTTTGCAGCCTTCAAGCTAGCAACTGAAAATACTTCCAAGTAAGGAGATCTTTTTATTTTCTGCTCTATACTATAGTTCAGCTACTGAAACTGCAACAAGATGTGTCAAATAGGGGGTTCTAAACTCAAATACTTGAGAGAGGGACAGAGCTAAGCAACCAAGACCTGCTTTTGCCTACCCTAGAACTATTAGGCTCTCTCAAGCATCTCTGTGCCTAATTTCAATTTCAAACACTTAACTGCATAGGATAAAAATTTACTGTAACGATTTGTTTCTTGAAATATACTACAAATAATCAAATCCAACTTTTGTTTTTCTAGCTGACCAGGAAGTGATTACTGCTGCTTGTCCCTGTACATATGAAATAACTAAGTAACACTGGCTTAGCAAAATGATAATGGCATTGTCATAGTTAATAAAGTCTTGTCCCTTCCTTCCAGAGTAAGACATTGTATTGTATTTTTAGTGCTACGTTTGGTTTCTTTCATTGAAGGCTAGAATTTGAAGCAGAAAAGAATACTGGCAGTAGGGAAAAGCTCCTGCAGTTGCTTTTAGAATACAGCTGGCAGAGCTGTCCTTGCCCTGGCACATGCTTCTTAAGATGTCAGTGGCAGGAGACTGGCATACATGCAGCCAGACCCATACACCTAGACCTGTGTATTATAGAAATCCTAGAAATTAAGGAGAAAAGGATTAATTCAGTAAGATTTTTCTTTAGTTTTGTTTCACTAGATAACAGTTCACACATGGCTCTTTCAGATTTCAAGACAGTCAGGTAACTGGTATACAAAAGTGATACAAAGTGCTGAAGTTCTTGAATAAAGTATTTTGTCCATTCAAGTTCACTGATCACAGAGATGAAGTATTTCATTTTAATTCTGCAAACAATGCGATGAAAAGGGCAAATTTCAGAAGTTTATGGAGAAGTGTACATTAAAGGTCTAGCTTTTCTTCTAGCAGCTGTTACAGAGAAAGCTGGTGTAAAAATAATTGGTCCTTAGAGATGCTTTATGCTGCTGCCCCTAAACATCAGCATCTTTAATTTTAAATGGATAGGTGTTTGCAAGTTAGTGCAATAGTAAAGTGCAGAAAGTTTTCCATACTCCTTCTCTTCACTTTAGAATGGGGTACCTAATAAGTTGTTCAAGTATACAAAAATATTCCATTTGATTTTCTTTTTCTAGATCATGTGGGAGAAGTCTTTATTTACAGTGGATTTCAATAAAATTTGCATAAATACCTACTCAGTACGGCATCATGACTTTGTGTAAGCAATCATTCTGTCCTGTTTTCACTACTGTGTTCTGTCGCTACAGCATCAACACGATCAATCCTTTTCTCCTCTGTGCTAAGAGCTGCTGAAACCAATACACTGCTGTCATCAGCCACTGTTTGCTCTGACTGAAGGGCTTCTTTAGGTTCGTCTTTGCTCTGTAGCTTTCCTTCCCTCGATGCCACCAGGATTCTCAGTAATGTATTCTCCTTAAGGAGGTTTTCTGATGCGTCAGCCAGTTCTTGAAGCTTTTCAGCCATTTCTAGCAATTCCCGATTCTTCTGATCGTATGTTGCCTGCAACTGCTGGCTGTGGAGCTGCAGAGTCTTGTGCTGCTTTTCCAGTGTGTGCTTCTGCTGCTGTAGTCGATGTTCTTCTCTTCTAGCTTCAGAAAGCTGTGCCTCAAGGGATTCATGGGCTTGATGCAGGGCCCTGATTTCTAACCTTAACTTCTGAATTTCTTGCTCCAAGTGGGAGATGTGTCCTTGCTGTAAAACTGTCTCTTTATGGAGGCATTCTTTGGTGCAGGGCTCTGATGAAGAAAGACTCGAGTGATGTAAAATAAATTTAAGAAGATGAGGAAGGCTAACTGGAAAGTCTTCTGGGAACTTCACGCTTTGATCCTTCCTGGAAGGACATACCAAGTTAGTGTCAAGGCATAAAGCTACAGAAGCAGTGATAACTAAGTATCTGCTGCCCAACTCAAAATTGGTATCTTGGCTAATTACACAGTTAAAAGAAACCTAAACTCGTATAATGAAGATACAGCACAGGCTATTTCTATTTCATAAACTGTTTCACCTGTATTCCACAAAGATAAGATGCTTTAATGAATAATTCAAGAACTTGGGGCAGATAAGGTTTGTGTTCATCAAAATTAAGCTATTTTTGGCAGACTAGGCAATGTGTTTTTTCTTCTCCTGCAGTCCTGGTGATCAGCCAAGTTAATTCTGTAATTAGCAGCAGCAGTTTCTCAGTTGACAAGCAGCTTACATCCAAACTTAATGATTCATGACATTTTGGAAAAAATAGCCTACACTAAGCCAAAATTGACTCATTATACAACAGTAATGTTTTACTATGTCACTATCCTTTTTAAAAATTATTATTATTATTATTATTATTATTATTATTATTTTAATCAAAACCATAGCATACATCAGAAAAGCTGAAAGGCTATTTGCAGTGAAAACCAAACCAAAGCAGCAGCAGTGTGAGGAAGAAAACACTGAGCAGGCCGGGTAACCTGCAAAAACAGTCCCATGGCAAATGCACAAGGAGCTGTACAAAGCCTTCACAGAAAGCACCTTTACATCTAAAACAGCAACAACAATCTAGTGCTACTACACATTCTGTCAAAGCCTGATTTCATTTATTACCTACATGTAGCAAAACTAAAACATGCTAGAAAGGAAAAGTGGGAAAGAAATCTGCAGATACAGTTCCAGTGCTAAACTACTTAAAAACCACGTTTGTGAATGTTACAAACCCAATCTCACTAAAAACTATGAAGTTAGTCTGGAGATGGTTGGTAAAACAGGCCAAGACAAAACAAGCATCTGTGAAAAAACAAGAAACACGGGACTACATAGTAACAGCACACAGACAGGTACCAGAGGAAGCCCCGCCACAAGTGGTTTTACTGCTCCTAGCCCTGCTTTGCCAGTGCTTTAACGTAATCCAAAGACCTTTTTTGCCATTTCATACTTGAGACGCACGCTGTCACTATACTGAGACGCACGGATCACAGAGTTATTGTAGTATTGTGAAGGAAAAAACAAAACACACGAGGGGAAAGAACCGCATTACCTCTGCTGAGGAAAAAATAAAATGGTCGGGAGCCGATCTGTCATAAATTCCCAAGGAAGATCATTTTGAGTGGTATCAATTCTGTTAAGAAAACACGCACACAAGAAGTCATTGGAGGGATTACAAAAAGGGAAAATGCAAATTTTTTTTCCCCCTAAAGTTCTACATAGAAAGGAACATGAGTTTAATTAATGAAACAACTGTTCAATTGCTTGCTATGGCTTTATTTTGCTTTCTTCAGTCATTTCTGATTATAAATTGTTACAATTCTATTAGAAAGAAAAGAAAAAAAAAACCAACAGATAACCACACAGTGGGTGGTTAAACAAAAATAACAGACCAAATGATAGAACTTCAACGTCAGGAAAGAGAATGGGTGTAGATTTGAGAGCAGCATTTTACCTAGGGCAAAAAAGCAGCAATTATAAACAAGTGCTAGCTGTAGCTTTTAATTTTTTGCCCATATATCTCCTGCTGCTCCTTAAGGAAATTCAGTCAGAATGAAATAAGGACACAATGAGAACAGAGATGTAAGCAATCATGTATTTGAGAATACATCAATAAGAATGTTTCAGTTGCACTGAAACCCTGACCATGTTAAAGAACTGTCAGACAACACACGTATCGTACACATGTTGTATAAATGCGTACGAATGTCTCTCAATTCCTAAAATACAACACTGTACGATTCAATTCTTCACTTCAAATGATCAGAGAAAGTTAAAAATGCTTTTCTGCTGCCACCTGCTGTACTGGTTCCCTTTCCAAAATCAGTGTGCTCCAAGAATAATTTGAAAATTCATTTTAACTGAACTGCAGAAACGCTGCAGTGAGATTGAAAAGAATCAAATTTAGGCAGAGGAAAGAAAGATAATGATTCAAAGAAAAATGAAACAGACGACATTCACATCAACTACTGCGAGACTGTAGAGAGAAAAAAAAGTAATTATTCTCTAAGCCAATTATCTCAATGAACTTGCATTATTCTAGAGAGATTAAATTAGAATCTTTTTTACCTTGCCACAGTGAAATGATCTGGAGGCAAAAGCCGAGCCAGCTGAATAAAGACATGATTGAGAGAAGCACAGAATCCACACCACTGTGCATAATAGAGCAGCAAGACATTCTGTAAAATGAAATGAAGAGTCTTATTACCTACTGTAATTGATCTGCACTAAAGAAGGGCTAGTCTTCACAAAATCTCAATTATTTAGCACTCTTAACATATGAAAATACACTGCATGCTAATGTTGACATGCTTTATTACAAGCTATTTACTGATGCCTTCTGTCTCTCAGGTTAACACAGGCATTCCTGGGGAATCTCCTCTCCGTAAAGAGAAAACAAAGAGAATTATTTAGTTCTCGTTAAATAAAAACGCATCAAGCTTTCTTACACTTCTTAGGATTCTTCTGCAGCCTTGAACTCCTACATGTCTGACAGTGACTGTACACCCCAGGAGGTGGTGCTGGGGAAGATGTCTGCCCTCCTGCTTTGGGCCTTTGGCTAGCAAAGGGCAGCCGGGATGCTGAAGCCAAGCACTGCGCGTGTACCCACCTGCTGCAGCCCCACAGCCAACAGACACTAATCCTGAGTACTTCTTAAAAAGAATAAAAAGTGATTTAACTGCTCTTCAAGATGACCTCATACATAAAGCAATTTCATGGCATGCAAATAGACAGCTTGTGCCTTTGAGATTTCTGTGTGCCAAATCCTATCTTCGGTTTAAAACTTCTGTTAGCTTTACAAGTGCTTTTTTTTTAAGTTTAAAAACAATTAATACATAGAAAACAAAAGGTACTTATGTCCTTTAAGTTATGAAAGGCAGACATCACAACGCCTGGCAGCATTACCTCAAATTCCACGTGTGCAGCATGTGCTGGTGCTGCTGCAGAGGAAGGAGGGAAATGGGGCTGCAGATTGCAGGCAGAGTCAAGGACTTCTTTCCATCTCAAAAGCACAGGCAAAGTAAAAGGAATGGAACTTTGAACGATGGTAGAAAGCTGCTATGCAGGAATCTGCAGCATGGACTTTTTCATTCTTTTACCAGGAAAAAGGCACTTTGGAGATTCACTTAAAGTTACACTAAATTTGATTGCTTTTTTTTTTTTTTTAAGAAACAAATATTCTGGCGTTCTGAATAAAGACTGTTGTATTTTACACAGAAGCAACGCAGGTGGCTAAAAAAAGAATGAGAATCCTTCCTCAGAAGGTGAGCAACGACTTGCAGAAGCTTTTTCCTACAGCAAGGAGTACCTTTTCACTTGAAAACACAATGTGATGGAAGGTGCTGGTGGTCACTTCAGCCACGACGCGCTCTGCAGGGACACGGACTGAGGTGCCATCCACGAGATGCCTCTTCAAGGGACTGTAGAGAATGCTGAAATTCTTTATGAAGTTCTCTGAAACAAAAATGATACGTAAACTTACGTCTGGGTTTTGGCAGGCTGCACTTTGCCATTCCCAGATGAAACTAAAGCCGACACATCGTACACAGGCAGAAAACAGCAGATCAACAAGTCTGTCTCTGACATACCAAGAGCAGTACTTCATTTCGTATTTGCTGCTCAACATTCATGAAATTCTCACAGCAGATAACAATATTGTTATTTTCCTTCCATATCCCCAGGTTTTGAGTACTTATGTATTATTAAGGAATAACTGAATAGGAAGGAATAATTAAAAATACTCTGCCTACTCCTGTATGTTTAAGAACCATCCGTAAAAACTGAAATCTGTTGAAGATATTAAACACAAACCTGTTCCATTAATTTAAAATATCAGAAGTTAGGCCAACTATAGGAATACAACAAAATAAATAATAAAATAGAAAGAAAATCACAGTGACTCTGACAACATACGTAGAAAAAAACATTTCTGGAAGCTCAAGTAACTCAGACAATGTAACTCAGCACAGCAACTCTCATCCCACTTAGGAAATCCTGTGAACAGAAAATATTTTAACACAGAAAGCACTGAGAGCACAAACAGGAAGAAATTTATTATCTTCTCACCCAGCTCTTTATTACCCTCTGAGCATCCATGTGTGGTCAACAATTTTTGTTTTTAGCATCATTTTTTCTTTCCAGAGCGTTCTGTGGGGCAGGGAGATGCAGAGGGGATGGAGGGCAGGTGGGAGCTGGAACTTCAACACAGC